TACTCCTGACACGTGAAACAGGCGAGCAATCTTAACTTCACTTGTGGGACTAGGGAGCCTACACTCGTGCTCTCTCAAGTGGAGTGTGGCCCCAACTGCCTCTCTCTAGTCCATTCCTAGGACTATATCGAAAGGAAGGCTGTCCTCTACGAGGAGAGTCAGGGAATGGAGGACTTTTTCCAACTTCCCATCTTTCTCTAGGCGAAAGTACGCCTGGACTCCCTCAACGTAATCCTCGACTCGCATAGTGCGATTGCCTGCGAGGATACTGACTATAGGGTCTTTTAACTTTTGGACCTTAAGATTTAACTTCAACTTTTGCACCGCTTTCCTACTGATATAGCTGCGAGTGGCCCCACTATCTATAAAGGCCCCTACTCTACCTCTAAAGATCTCTACGTCTACTAACACTAGTTGTCCTTTCGCATCTTTCTTCATTTTGGCCCAGGTAGGCATCCTCTCCTTCAACTCTTCTGCCACGCCTATGAGGGAAGTACCTAGAGAGACTCTTACACAAGCAGTCTCTGGACAGCTATCTAGGTACTGGCCAGCAACCTCTGTCGTAGGCTCATGTGGTTTGGGAGTTCCTTTGTGGTGCGCACACTCTTCTCCACATGGCGTAGGGGTAAGGGCAGTTGCGACCCCTACCAGCGGTTGTCTTTTGCTGCTTGTGCAGCATAACGGGCTTCTCTATACTTTGGACAATATTTGATTATGTGGCCCGGATCACCGCAATAAATGCACTGATCCTGGTCCACACGTCGCTGCCACACTGACTGGTCCAAGCCCAAATCTTCCCATGGCCTGCCTTGTGGCAAACCTGGGTGCCATCCACCCCTTCTTGGTTGGCGGGGGACCTTGACCCCTACCTCCCTCTAGGCGGTTTCCTCTGTCGCCAACCCCCTAAGCGCCCTGTCCTCGGCCACCTGAGGCCCGGCCCCCTTGGCCCTAGCCTCCTCCTCTTCCTTGGCCTCCCTCCAGCCGCGACAGCAGCGTAAGTCCTCCCCTGACTGCCACTACTGTCCTCTTCCTCTAGGCCCCACTCGATCTGACTGTATGGGACCTCATCCATACCACCTTCATCTAAAGTAAGGATCAGATGATCCTTGGCCCTAACTTGACCAGAGATGGTATGTCCCTTCCACTTTTTCCCCTTGTCCAAGTCCTTATGCCAGAAAGTGGAGATGGGCATGGACTGTGCCTCAAACAACACCACCTCCCTACTTAACGTATCATACGTTATGGTGGGTTGTCTACTCTTTTCAAAGAAGTGCCCACGCAGGGGCTCTGGCATGGCACGATAAAATAAGTTGACCAACTGGGTCTCAGTGACCCCATGGTCTGGGACGGCTACCAGCTTGTCCATTACACCCTTGAGTGCTCTAGCACTCCTCAACTGGCATGAGTGGATGGTTTGCAGTTTGTCTGAGGCCCTTACGCCTCGACTGACATCGGCAAATCATTCCTTCAACAATCTAAGGAACTCAGGGAGAGGAGTAATCTTCTAATAAGCTGCCAAACTGTTTTCGCATTGTGCGGCACGAGCGAGCGATCTGGCGAAGCTGGCTGCTTTGTCTTTGAGGGCTTGGAAAGCAACAAGGACTTGTTCCCCAGCTACGATCTTCTGCAGATAGATGTATATATTCACATTCGCCTCCCAGTTACTGAAATTTTTTTCCTTCTTCGCGCTATAGGGTTCAGGAAACTTGATCTTTACGGGCTCTCTACAGGGGCGTACTTCGTCCTCCTTTGGGACAGCCAGCTTTGCGCCCTCAATGGCGCCTATGCATAATTTATTTGTGCCCTTTATTCTCGCTTGCATTTCTGCACCTACGTGCAACATCATCTTGCGTGCAAAGTCTCTAGAACCCAGGCGAATGGAGTGTAAGGCGATGTCCTGGGCCCTAGCAAACTGATGTTCCTCGTCCCAGCCTCTAGCTAGGAGTTCTATGTTTCGCGTAATAATATCAAAATTTCCTTGTATATCTACCTGTGCTTGGATCTGCTCTCTTTGTTCCGTTATCACTTCCAACTCCGTCACCATTTTACTCGCCTCATCCATCCTCCTCTTCTTCTCCCTGGTGAGACACAACTTCCATTGTAACTTTTTCTCCTCCTCTATTGTCTGGCATCTCAGGGGATCCTCTTCCACCTCGAGCTCCCTCACAACTGCTTCCTGCTCCTCCCGGGGGACATACAACATGGCTTCTTCTTCTTCCCTCAGGGACAAATTCGCCACCCACTCAGAAACTTTTTTCTCCAACCATGAATCCTCCCTCTTCGTGCCACTAGATTCCGCTTTATTCCTGGTGCCTCTCCTGATCAGGGGCTCCTCCTCCTTTTCTTCTTCTATCTCTATTGCTTCCACCGCTTTCATTTTCCCTTCCTCCTCCTGCTTCAATCTTTCCATCTCCTCCTCCTACTTCTTTCTCTTCACCGCTTGCTCCTCCTGTAGGGCCAACTTTTTGGCCTGTCTTATTAACTCCTTCTTGGCCTCCTTCTCTTTTCTCTCTCTAAGTAAATCGATGGCTTGCTCTTCCTGAGCCGTTGTGCAAGGGGTGGTACTCTTTCCACTATGTAGGTCAACCATGGTGAAAGGTGCACAACCAAGAATCAATTCCACTCCTCATCACTTAGACTCACACCCCTGATTGACTTAACTTAAGATTGACTCAACTAAGGACCACAAAATCTTGTAAGATCCTGTCAGCTAGGGTCTCTAGCCTAGACCTAAAACTAAGGCTGTCACTTCAGGACTTACTGCTGATCAGGAGGCATTTAAGGAGATCTAACTCCTCAGGAATTATTTAACGTCGCAAACAGGACGATGCGATCAGCAAGTCCTCTCAAGACTTAGACTACTCGTTGTGCAGCCCACAACTCGGATTTTGGGCCTACTGTGCCACACTGAGCAGCCCGCCGGTCTGTACCGGTCCTTGGGAGGGTTCATGTCCTCCGGGTTGTCAGTCGTCAAACACAGCCTTTAGCCCTACTCAACCCGTGTGGGTTTGGTCAACAAAGCCCTATGACCTCATATGCAGAGCTCCTATCACCTAGACAGAAGAGACCCAATGCAGAAAGAAGAGAGACAGACTCAGCAAGTACCATGAGGTGAGTGCACATCCATAGGGCGAGGGGATAGGTTGAAGACTTGGCGAGAATATACCAACTCCAACTTGGTCAATTTTGTGGTCAACAGCCTTGGTCAACGCCAGTCAACTCGCTGGTCAACGCCAGTCAACTCGCAGGTCAACTCTTTGGTCAAAATCTTGGTCAACTTTGGTCAACCCCTCGGTCAACACCTTCGTCAACCCTCGATTCGGCTATGGCTGCCGGCCCCTTTCTTCCTCGCCAACCTTCTTTATCCTCCTTCTTCCTTCCTCCTTTCTCCTTTTTCTTGCTTCACCCCGGCTATGGCTTCCTCCACTTTCGTTGTCCCTCCTTCCTTCTCCCTAGCTATGGCTTCTTCTCCTTCATCTTTCCCCTCTTCTCCTTCGCTTCACCTTCCTCTTCCTTGGTAACCCTGTGTCCGAGTTCCGCGGCTATGGCCGCTTTCTCTCTTGGTCTGCACAACAATCTTGTATCGCTCCTCTCTCTCTCTCTCTCTCTCTCTCTCTCTCTCTCTCTCTCTCTCTCTCTCTCTCTCTCNTCTCTCTCTCTCTCTCTCTCTCTCTCTCTCTCTCTCTCTCTCTCTCTCTCTCTCTCTTCTTCGTCGTTGTCTTCTGTGCAGGTACGCGGCACCTCACTCCGCAGCGCAGCTATGGCGGACTTTCCTCCTTCGGTGCACCTCAGCTATGGCGCCTAACAGCCGCGCGTCGCCTTCCCCGCTGGCAACGACGATGGCGCGTGGGGTAACGGGTACCAGCTCGGATACCAATGCAATCAGACTCGCTTTCTCTTCCACTTCGCATACATGCAAACAGATGGCGATTCACACTGGCGCAGGGCGCCCACTCAAAGCTCAGAGATATGGAAACCGAGAACACAGTTCAGGTGCAAAATCGCTTCAACAGGCTATGGTGCGTCGGCGCCTGCACATCCCACCTTTCGTCACAGTGTCCAATACCACTGTTCGCACATACTCAACTTTGGATCAACCTGAATACTCCACGCACACCCAATCAGTATCCCACACACACACACACTTTCAGCTACCTCTATCCTACGGCGGCTACCACTATGAGCACTCTTAGCTTCTTCAGCCCACTTCGTCGTCTGGCAACCTGCAGACCACCTTCACACAAGACGCTGTAGCAGCGCTTCCGCATGGCTTACACAGCGAATGAATGAACTGCTGGGCGCTGCTTCTTGGATTATACTTCCGTTTGCCGCTGGTCTGCCACTTTCCACCAGGCCCTCGGTGTGTACAGTCCCACACGGTACTTGCTTGACCGACTTAGTGCGACTGGGACTGGTACCACTGACTGCATGAGGTTGCACTACGACTCAACGCAGTTGGACCTGCGACTCACCTACGGCTCTCTAACTTAGCAGTTTCAACCTCTGTACAGCTACGACCCCTACTCGACAGACCTACAGATCGAACCCCTACAACTACACAGTCCTACGACAGACAACAACCCACTATGCAAACACAGGTCACGGGTTCAAACACTCGGGGGTCAACTCGGTACTGTACATGGGTAAGGTGAGGTCTGGGGATCGAACTCTAGTGCCCGCATCTGTGACTGCCAAAAGGTGAAAACCGTTTCAACAGCCACCGGCAGCAACAAAAACAACAAGAAAACCAACAGCTATCATCACAATCAGGGCATCACCAGCAACACACCAATTTTTCCAATATGGATGTCTTTTCTACATTGATCAAACTGACCGGCCCCACATGTAATTCAGAATGATTTTTTATTTTATTTTATTGAGATTTATTTTTGTTTATCTGATTGCATCCGGATTTGAACTCAGGTTTGTATTTCAACAGTTTATGGGTGTACCAACTGAGCTAGGTTCGCTGGTGTTGTCGTTTGCGTTTGTTCCTGCAGATTATGGAGATTTTAGTTGACTGTGGCTTCGCCACAGATCGACTTCAGCAAATGGTGAGAAGATGGAAGCACCTTGATGCTGCCAGATGCTTTGCGCAGTGGAAGCGATACTGTGAAGAAGTTGCTAAGTACCAGGGACTCCAGGACTTGGCACTTAACCATGCTTCCAATAGCTATTTGCGCAAGGCTCTATTCGGACTCTTTTGGGCACGACAAAGACGGAGGGACAGGTGTAAGGGAGAGGAGTTTCAAAAACTCAATGCTCAAAGTACGTGGGCGAAAAATGAACTTCCTTTTTCCATGCATTGGGTAAAATAATTTATGGACTAAACGAAAAACAATACGTATAAACATGGTAACCCCGGACCCGGACACCGGACACTTCTGGACTGTCTTCCGGACCAGTGTCTGGACCGGTCCGGACTGTCCAGTGATCCGGCCATCACCGGACACCGGACATCACTGGACACCGGACAGTCCGGACTGGTCCCCGGGGTGCAAAAATGTCCGGACCCGAAAACAAAAAAAAAAACAAAAAAAACGGGGGTGGGGTGGTGGTTGGGTGGGGGTGTTGGCGGGCACTTACCTGCTTTGCAGCCTGTAGTTCAGGCAGCAGAGCACGTGTCTTGCAGCAAATCAACCAGCACATTTAACTAGCAGACATGCAGAGTTGCAAACAGTGCAAAGCAGGCACAAGACTAAAGAAACAGAGATTTTTTTTTGAAAAAAGTATGATTAACTTCGAACTTTGAATGT